TTGGTAATTCCACATTGTCAAATATTGACTGTTTTTATATTGGGTGTCCTACCCAATTGAAAAAAAGAAAAAAAAAATGGACCTAGCTAACAATGGTTATTGCATCATGTTATTGATATAAATAGTAACACCATATTTGTCTTGGCTTATGATTAAACTACTGCTTACTAGCTCAGGGAAATATTTTTTAAAATAGAAATTAATTCAGTCTTTCTCCGAGAAAATTTTTAAGTTAAGCCTCTTAAAACACCTCAGTGACCAAGGAGAAAATTCGTTTTCTTTATGAAGGGGGTCATGCTGAAAGAAGATCAAATGGTAGATCCTACCTCACAATGGTTCTGTATATATCAAAACAGAAATGCGGACCTATTGTTAACATAATTATGCTGGAGAAAAATCTACATGTAGGTTTCTTTTAAAAATCCACTTTGTAAATAGAATCAATGATTATCTCTTTTGGATATACTTTCATTAAGTGGGTCAAACTCACCATCAATGCTACAAAATACAATATTTTCCATTACTTTTAGTTGTAATGTACACTATGTACAGAAAATATTACCTATCTTAAGCTAAATACAGATGAACAACTTGTTAAAAACCAGAGTCAGGACTTATAAATAGTGCCGAAAATGCAAATGCCAAAAAAACGATGCCTCCTATGATTGTCACTGGAAGAGAAGAGAAAAAAGTTAAATGTAAGGCAAAATTTCTTATGTCCTGGTATTGTTGCAAAACAAATGAGAGCCAATGTAGCTGCATATTTTTCTCCCAATCTAATAAAATAACCTTGAAAGCAAATTGAACCCCATTCCTGATTCGTTAACAGTAAGAATCGGTTTCTTCTTTTTAGTACTGTTTAAAGACAATTATACTAAGTTGAGACAGAGATGACAAGCAACAGAAGAACTACTCAGTAACTCATCTTAAAATCCAATTACAAAAGAAAATGCAACAACCCCTGACTAAGGGTAATCATTTCATCTTTAAACCTCACAATCCTTTAGAACTGTGTAGACAATTTTCAGCAGAATCTTACACATGGCCTCAACCTATGATTTCCAGTCTTCACACATTTCTCATGTTGATTATTTTACTGGCTTAGAAAATATATGAACAAAAAAGCTGCTATGAATTTAACAGTGTTTTTAGATGAATTTATATTTTACTAACTAACTTCTGCACATGGAAAAGCAGTCTGTGTTTGCACTACTAGGTAACACTAAGGACCTCTAAACAGGTGATCACTTAGATAACTGAAGCTAATACCCCGTTTCTAATTTCCCAATGACTCCAAAAAGTTAGAAATATTTGCTTTTCAATTAAAGAAAAAAAAAAAAAAAACAAAAAAAACCCTTACCAGTTCTGACGGAAATTTTTTGTGCTATCATTCTTCCTCCTATTACTGCCAATCCAGTGCATAAGCAGTGCCCCACTGTTCCACCCACTGCTACACCATAGGGGTCCTAGAAGCAAATATAAATAGCAGTAATTAGCTAGTTTAAAATTATAGGTGAAACTGCCACTTGAGAAAGGTAACTGTTAAAAGCACCAAAAATGGACAACAAAGCCTAACAATTCTAAAATTCCAGGTGTAACTATGAAATTGTAATGACTGTCTAAAGGATACACTAAGACTAGACCTGAAAGGACAAAAACTAAAACCTTTATTGATAGTATGATTATGCTTCCTGAGAACAGAAACCCTGCTTCTTAAACTCCATGCTTTTAGCTCAGTGCTAGGAACAATGTTCATCCCAAACACATGCTACCAGGGCAAACTGGAGGCAGTCAGGTTGAGGGGATCAGCGAACATTATCCAGAAAAGATAGCCCAGAGCAAGCAGGTTTTAGAGACAATTTACCGCAGAGCACTTCAGTTTCCACAGAGAACCAATTCAGCACGAGAGGAGTCCATAAAGATGGGAACAAAGGGTTACTGGTGTAGTTCAGTGGAACAGCACTTGACTGGCATGCATAAGGTCCTGAGTTCAATTCCCAGCCATGGAGGAGTAGGGTTTTGGCTTTTTTTGTTTTTTTGGTGGTATAAGGGGATTGAAATTAATTTTCTAAAACCAAGTCACCCATGACAGCAGTACCCAGAGATAGCACCGGAAGCATTGCTTTCCTTAAGTTTATTTGTTCCCCGGGTATTTTAAAAGTAAACCTTTTTAAAAATTTTTCCATATTGTTAAGATGAAGAGTGATTATTCAAAGAGCTCATAGAAGTTCATAAAGAATTGAATCAGTTCTCCTCTGTCTAAATTTCCACTCAACTGCAATAAATATTTTATAAAGTAACTTCTTTAGTATAAAGAACAGAAAAACCAAAAGTCACACTTTTAAAGATCTTAGATTGTTTATCGCCAAGCTGGCATTTGATAATATTAAGACTAATTTATATCCTTTGTTTTTTTGACATAGGTCTCACTATGTAGCCTAAGCTGACCTCAAACTTGTGATCATCATACCTCAGCCTCCTTAGTGCTGGGATTATAGGCATACATGACCACATGCACTTCTACCAATTTATATTCTCAACAGGCATACAAAGGAAAGTTGTAAGAATGCTAAGCCACAGAGACAACTGCCACAGCTTTATTTTGGCAAAACTAACATCAGCAAGATGAGAAAAGGGAACAAGTAAATCTGGATACAAGAGCTGTGGACTAGGAGCAAGCAGGTGGATAATTCAAAAGGCAGGTAAGATGCACAGATGTGCACAGTCTAGCTAGGGAAATAATCTCTTGGCCATTGGCTGGCCGAGCAAAGTAACATTGTATGGTTTTACTACAAAAGCAGTCTTTTCTCAAATCACTCACCTCTCTAGCTGCCAAAACAATTGTAGTGAGTTGAGAGCGATCTCCCCATTCTGCTAAGAATGTCAGTGTAAGGGCTTGAACAAAAATGGGTGAAATAAAATGCAACCACTTTTTCTGAGGTATTGTTGTGCTTGTACCCGTTTCAACATCTCCCGGTCCATTTAAGAGCTTGGTTCGTTGAAACTAAAACAAAAATGACATTAATCCTAGCAAGCAAATCACAGTAGCATACAATCACTTAATCTTTCTTTTCAAAAGTATTTAAATTCTCTGAAATATGCTCCAAAGAAACTAAACTTATGTGACCCCAAACTTCCCTTTTGAGAGGAAGTTCATACAGGAACACGTTATATTTGCCATTCCTCAACAGATCAAAATGTCACTACCCTAAATGCTATGGAAGAAGTGTAAAATTATACAAGCTTTTCTGGAGCTTATAATCAACCTAAGGAAGCTAGCTGTCCAGTATTAATTTCTCCACCACATTCACACTAATCCAAAATTGTACCACAGCTAGCTTAGGTGATAAAAACAAAACAAGCTAGTTTTGTGTAGCTCACACATACAAGATGTGGCCAGTGAGAAACCTCTGGATAGTCTTCATTTCTCATTTCCGAGATACTTAACAGTACTATAACTTACTTCTTCATCTTTCTTCTTTAACTCTGCTTGAACTTCTTCCAGTTCTTCTTGACCCTCATCTGGGCTCATCTTTAAACCTTCCCGAAGCATTCTAATGCCAAAAATGGCAAATAATGCAGTTGAAACATAGTATGTATACACCCGGGGGATGACAGTGGTGGCATAGCCAAACAAAACTGCAAGAAAATGCCAGTGGTGCATTTGGTTAATTGTTATATATCACAACAGACTAAAGAAATGATCAACTTCAAGAAATCATAATTTAGCAATCTTACAGGAAAATGGCTCATATTAGAAACTACTCTAGTATGTGGTAACCTTAAATCCGCTTTCCTCCCATGAACATTAAACCCATTGTCTAGCCCGAGGCCCTAATGGCTTACCAAGATAATCAATGGCCCTGTTGAAGATGGCACACATCTTCCACCGGGACTTTGAAGATACTGAACTCCCCTCCAGACATTTTCAGCCAGGAGATAGTTTGCCATTTGCATTGGGTAAGGCATTGTATTTGTACTAGCTTTGATACCATCTAGGGACTTCCATATATAAATGATAATTCTTCAAATTCTTTAATATATAAATCTCTATAGAGAAGAATTATGACAAGATTCTCATACAATATGGTTCAAAGTGTGCTCCTTTTAGACTACTTAAATAAGTATGTCTTAATGAAATTAAAAATCTCTTATAGATTATGTGTATACACACAAAAAACTTTAACACAGGCATGTAATTTCTAGCTCTGTCCATTGAATTGGCAGAGAAAGAAAGACATCTCAGTAACAAAGAAGCCATCTTTCACCCAGCTCTTGGGTTCTAACACCATTCTCCCCTGACTCCTTAAGGAAATGACCATTTGTAAGACTGGGCACAAGATGAACCTGAGTATCCTGTAATTACTAGGTAGTAAAGAAGGGCAAACACAAATCATGGAAGCATGTCACAAGGACACATGAAGCACCTGCAGAGGCTCCCACTGGCCAAATCTACATAGTAGTCAACAAAATAGTTTAAGAGAGCCAGGTACTGGTGCTCACGCCTGTACTTGTAGCTACTTGGGAGGCTGAGATTGGGAAGATGGAGGTTCGAGGGTAGCCCACATAAACAGATCAAGAGACCCCATTTCTAAAATAACCACAGCAGGGCTGGAGGTGTGGTGCAAGCACAAAGCCCTGAGTTCAAAACCCCACTCCAACCAAAAAAATAAATGAACTGAAGAAAGACATTAAAATCTATACTGATAGTAAATAGATGAATAAATGGGAAAGGAAGATGTGCTCTTGTTTATGGTAGAGAGTAGAGCAAACGCCAGAATAAGGAAGTCATTGTTTTGCAAACATTGAGGGAAGGCTTTGATCACGAAAATTATGCTGTATCTACGAGAAATTTTGATAAGGAGAAGGGTATTTGTAGTGTCTTAGTATTTCCCTCAGGGTGCATGTTAGTTGCAAAGAAAAAGACTGTATACAAGGAATGTGGACTGGGCCATCAACATTAACATGCCAGTGAGGGGGAAATGGACATCGTATTTCCATGGGATACTTTTGTACACAATATCACCTATGCTGTTTTGTAGTCAAGAATGCTTATCTTCATTTACTCATGAGGAAATATCAAGCACAAAATGAGGAATAGTCCATTAAGAGGGGAGGAGGGACTGTATTCTTCAAAAACTGTTTATGTCATAAAACTATGCAAACAGCCTAGACTGGCTTGTGTACAGGAGGGGGTGTGGGATCGAGTGCGGGGCATGGTGGTGCACACTGTTAGTCCCCAGCTATTCAGGAGGCAGCGGCAGTCTGAGGCTAGCCCCAGGTAGAAGGGCAGGACCCAACCTGAAAATAACTGAAGCAAAAAAGGGCTGGGGCGTGGCTCAAGTGGCGGAGCACTGGCCTACTAGCAAGCGCAAGGCCCTGAGTTCAATTCCCAGGGCTATCCTCCCCCCAAAATTACTAGGCCAACTGGCAGAAATATGTAGGGAAGACTACTGTTACCAATATATTTACCTGTCTGTAATTTACAGATAAATTATATGTATGCATTACATGCCTACAGATATGTAAGTTATGGGTATGTACATATATAATTGTATTTTAATTAACCCCCCAAAATAGCTCTTGTCAGGAGAGTGACATGCAGTATAATTTTATTTACACAGATCAAACACAAATCCTAAAGCAAATGAGGTAAACTGTTAGCAATGGGTGAATCTGGGCTGGAAGTATATAGATGTTCTTTACACTGTCTTACTCGTACAGCTTTAAAAACTTAAAGTTACTTCCATAAAAAGTTTAAAATTGAAATGTAGAAACCTTTTCAAATCTCCTAAATATGACTATCCTTTTATCTCCGGCTTCTGTAGTATCCCTTATCTATACAGAAGGTGATAGGCAGCAAGACCTCCAGTAGATGCCTGAAACCAAACCCTACACTGTGTTTTTTCCTACACGCTCTGCAGCACTGCCACACTGCTCCAATCTGTAACTCCACGTTTTATGCCCTGGTGCCTCTAACTAAAGTAAGGATTATTTGATTATAGGTACTGTGATACCACCAAAATTGGTCTGAAAACCAAGACTACTACAAAGTAATGATGGGTGTAAATATAACAAGGACACACACTGAACAAAGGGGATAACTTCCGTCTCAGAAAGGATGAAGTGGGATGTGAGATTTTATCTCTACACTGTGCAACTTAAAATGAATGAATTGTGTTCTCCTGGAATTTTCCATTTAATATTTTCAGACTAGTTGACTACAGATAAACCACAGAAAGTGAAACCTTGTGTAATGGGGAACTACTGTAATCTTTAAAAAAAAAAAAGTTACTGATACACACATCTCATTTTTTCTGCTTTAACATCTCTTATTAGGTGCAAAAAACTATGTGGTGGTGTAACTTTGTTTTGTCTTCCCCCAGTTCCTGTCCCTAGGCTCTCCTTTCTTGGGAAACCTTCCCTCTGACACTCAAGCACTTTACTGTGGCAGTACACTGAAATGAAATATTTCAATTTTCTCAACCACTTCTAAATATATCCAGTTAAAACAAGATGCTTCTAATTCTAAGCAAAAGACTAATTAATGTGTAAGAACAGTAACTTGAGAAAGTAATTTCAGAGAAACCTTTTTGGTACAAAAGAATTGGTATACCAATTCTCTGCATTCAGCAAGTCTGACAGAAGACCTTATTGAGTTAACAGCTGATAAATTATTAAAAACCAATTTGATGACAGACCATTGTGACTTTTTGCACTTAGGAGTTCTGAACAGAGGGATATGGCTATAACAAATTCCTTCCCATATTTATTTATGTGAATAAAATTCTCAGCCCTACATCCACTTTTTTAAAAAACAGTGTTGACCCTACTTCATTCTAGCAATAAGTAATACTCATTTACAAACATAGAAACTAATTTTAAAGTAACAGGCCTATCATTAAGAGAAGCATTTCCAGTTTTTAAAAAGTATTTAAATATGATGCAGTGATCCATATAAGAATTTTAAGAAAAACTTACTAGGATAAAATTCAGAGAGGAAATAAGGGAAAGAGTTTATCTGTTTTTTCAAAGGAATTATGGTAATGGTAGGTATCAAAGTATAATAATATTTAGATTGCATTGGACATATTTTCAAACACCATACAAGTTTTGCTTTACACAATATACCAGAAATTTGATCTTTGCAACTCCTTAACTTAAAATGAATGAATGGCATAAGTGAAAACTTACAGATAATTTTAGTGTGAGAGAGGGTATATAGTTTTTCAAAACTACCCAAGATATGCAGATCCCTGGGATAGACTACTTGAAAGGTATAGGTAAGAAGAGCTGTCCAGCTACACTAGTGGAGCCCTTTGCAGAGCAGGGAACAGGCCCCCCCACACACACACAATGGTCTACTAGCTATCCTTGAATCTGGAAGTTTCAGCAAGTTTTCTCTGACACAGTTCAAAGCATCCGAAATAAATGATGTCACCATTTACAGCTCTCCCCATGATCAACATTTGCTTCTGAAGGGAACATTACATTTTTGTGAGATACTCATAATTCCTATACTGAGTGCAAAAATGTGAAAGGTATTCAAATTATTTTGGTTGTTAAAACACTCATATATATGTTTATTAAGACATAAACAAGCATCCAGGCACCCAGAAATGGAACTTGTTCTGTGCTTTGAGAAGTGAGTTTCATTATGATAAAGGGATCATTGGAAAAAGACTCTAAATAAGGTGTCTCAAGAATACCGACACAGCCCAGGAGGTGGGTAGATATTACTATCTCCCGTCAGAGATGAGCAGGCTAATCAAATAACTTATCATGAAGCTATCACATGGCAAGTCAGACTCAGTCCCAGTTTTCCATCAAACTGTGTGGCTTGAGGTAGCTGTGAATCACAGACTAACCTGTGTTCAGTTATTTTAGTATTAAGTTGACTTTCTTATGATATACCACTTTGGGAAATTAAAGCCTACAAAATAGTAAATCAAACAGTAACACCAACAGGGAGTCTAAGAATGCTTCATTTCTTACCATAAGGGTTAAGAACAGCTTAATAAAACACAATAAATTTAAAGTTACTTCTCAGTTATGGATGAGTTCCCAAATGCCCTTCAAGTGGAAAATACGCAATTCTCTGTGGTTTCTTTCTAAAATTTCAAATATAAGTAAGTTTATCTTGACTGAAAAAAAAAGCAACGAATAAATGATGAAGGAGTATATATCTTGGCTGTGAACAAGAGCTAAAAATTTCATTTAAAAAGTGAAATCCAGAGCCAGGTATGGTGACTTAAAACTGTAATTGTAATCCCAGCTTTGTGGGAGGCAGAGATCAAGAGGATCCTGGTTTGAAGCCAGTCAGACCCCATCTCAACCAACAAGCCAGGCATGGTGGTTCACCAAGTTATGTATCTCAGCCACACGAAAGGCGTAAATAGGAGGATCACAGTCCAGGCCAGCCCAGGCAGAACTGCAAAACTCTATCCAAAAAAATAACTAAAGCAAACAGAGGGCTGAGGGGATGGCTCAAGTGGCTGAGGCCCTAAGTTGAAGCCCCAAAAAACAAATGAAAAATCTCTGAAATCCAGCTTTTAAGAATTTATGTACTGAGGGCTGGAGGTGTGGCTCAAGTGGTAGAGAGCCTGCTTTGCAAGCACAAAGTCCTGAGTTAAAACTTCAGTCCCACCAAAAAAAAAAAAAAAAGTAAGAATTATGTAGTAAAACCATATGCTGTCTAATACATTCTGAAACATAACCCAAATTCCAATTTAACTAGGTGAGTGATTCCAACTCAGTGCTACACATGGTGATTTCCCTCAGTTTGGCAAACTCACCTGATAAGCACGTCATGAGGGCCAAGGCAAGCATGGCCCCAGCCAGGACCGTCAGGCGGTGATAGCGCATGGCCATGATGGCTGCTATGAAGAATGTCTTGTCACCCAGCTCAGACACAATGATAACTGATATGGCAGCCACAAATGCATGGATAAAGCCCAGATTTGTTTGGGGAGCCTGATCTTCTTTATTGGTATGAACTGGGGCCGCTGGTGTAAATCCTTTCTGAAATTAAAAAAATACATACTTTGTCAAAATAATTATTTAAGATTCTTTTATTTTGCAAGTGACTATGGTTCAGTTTTTTTGTGGTTATCATAGGTATTTGTCTTATCACTTTGAAAGCCATTAGTAACTGTAGCAATCATTGATGGCTGTAGATCTATATAGTTTTCCAAAATAATTTAGAAAAAGCATATAGACCAGCTATGTCCACACACTGACATTATCTTATTTTCTAAGTACGTGTTATCTAACATTTAGTTCTTACCTATATCTCATTCAAATTTTTATTAATTTGGGTAGAAGACCCAGGTACATTCAACAAACATTCAAGTGACAGGAAGCTGAGAGAAATTTCACTGACACTGAAAAGGACAAAGTAGAATCCAAAAGCTCTCACAGGTTCAACAAGAGTTAGATCTAGCTAAGGCAAGGTTTAGTATAGCTGGATGTACAGATGGCACTATGATGAAGTCTAAAAATATCCTAGAAGGTAATGTGGCCTAATAAAAAGACAAAGCAAGTAGGACACAGTGGTTCACACCTCTAAACCCTAGCTACTTAGGAAGTTGAAATAGGAAGGACTGTGTGGTTGGAGGACAGCTGACAAAGTTCACAAGACTCCATCTCAACCAATCACTTGGCACAGTGGTGCATGCTGAGGGAGGGTGGGATTCTAGGCCAGGTTGGACCAAAAAAAAAAAAAAATCATGAGACTCCATTAGAAAAAAGCTGAGTGTGGTGGTGTATGCCTATCATTTGAGTTATTTTGGGATCACAGTCTAGGCCAGTATGGGCAAAAAGTGAGAGACCCTATCTCCAAAATAACCAGAGCAAGCCAGGTGCCAGTGGCTCACACCTGAATCCTAACTACTCAGGAAGCTGAGATCCAGGAGGATCACAGTTCGAAGCCAGCTCAGGCAAATAGTTCACAAGACCCTAGCTTGGAAAAAAAATACCCAACACAAAAGAAGGGGTGGTGGAGTGGCTCATATGAGGCCCTGAGTTCAAACCCCAGTACAAAAAAATAGACTAGAGCAAAAAGGGCTAGATGCATGGTTCAAGTACGAGCTCGAAGCCCTGAATTCAAACCCCAAACCACCAAAAAAAAAAAAAAAAAAAAAAAAAGAGACAAAGCAGAGTCTTGGTTGGCAAAATGTAAATGTGACAGAACCCCATAAGGTAATGTGCATTGGTGCTTAAAGGAGTTAATGACAAGCCCAAGAGTACTCTTGTGCTTCACAGCCCTTCCCCGGAGTTCTGTGGACTGGGCTGGGCCCACCCTGTCAGAAGGCACTGACTGCCAAAGCTCACCAGGAATGGAAAGATTCTAAAAATGTCTCCTCCTGCTGACCCCAAAGCCAGACTGTTGAGCTGAGAATTTGTTTACATTTTTAAGAGGGTGTACAAAAATAGGAAGAGGAATGGAGGACAAGAAAGAAGAAAGGACAGCAGAAGGAAGAAAAGCAGTGAAGAAAGATTATACAATAGAGATTCTATATAACTTGCACAAATGTGACCTGCAAAACCTGGAATATTTGCTAGCTAGTTCATGACTAAAAAGAATTTGCTGGCTTGGGCTCTCAGGCAATCATAGGAGAGACCAGGAAGGATAGGGTATCCCAATAAGTAGCAAGTATATGAGTCATCCACCCTATATGGCCTCAAGGAATAGAATTAAAAGGTGGTGACAGGTTTTAGCTTAATATGGAGAAAAGATTTCTATCTCAAGAAAAGATGGACAGGGCTGCCAGAGAAGGTGGTCATTCACTGCTCAGTGTCTTACTTCTAAAGCGAACTGCCACTCACTGAAAATGGGCTGCACACTGTTCTCAAAACAGTGCAACTGTGTCTTCCAGGGGGACTCGGTGATGTTTGGAAACATTTCTGATTGTCACGACCGAAGAAAATTTATCGGCATCTAGAGGATAAGGCTAGAGAGGCTGCTAATTATCCTACAGCGCACAATGGCTGCATGATCCCCACCACAAAGAATTAACCCAAAATGTCAATAGTTCTAGGTTGAAAAACCCTGGGTTAGATAAATCACTTCCAAAGGTCTCTTCTAATCCTTGTAAATTATCTTTAATTTAAAAGGCTGCCAATTTTTAGAAAACTAAAAGATAAAAAGGAAACCTGAGAACAAGTTTTAGATAAGGTAAAAACAGAAATAACAAGCATTACATGACGTCATAATAACCGCAGTAGAGTCCAGAAACATTTTGGCACGAGATCTGTGAGCTAAAAATTTTTAACATTTACCAATTTAAAGCTCTTTGCAGCCTGGGCTCTTAGTGAAGCAGGCAGCATTTTAAGGGCTTCTAGTGTTCTCTCCATCACAACATCAGTTCCACCTAGGCAGATGTTCGAGCATTTTTTCTGTTCCAATAGCCAATGCACATTAAACATCGTAAAAGACAAAGGTGTTTTAGCTAGGCTCTCCTTAATACAATGTTTGCCTATTGAATAAGCTTTTTTTTTTTTTTTTCTTTTTTGAGACAAGGTCTCACTATACAGCCTAGGCTGATGATCCCAGTTCATCCTTCAGAGAGCTGGTATTATAGGCATGCACTGCTATGCCTGGATGTATAAACCTTTTAGAGTGACAATCACAAAATTTCAGAATCTGAAATCTTAAAAAATTTCACAGATAAATATCAATTATGATCATACAGGCCCAAGCTCAAAAAGAAAATGTTTACTTTTTAAATCAAACCACAATGGTGATCAAGACTGTCTAATTTCATGGTTTTATAATTCCCAGCCACAACCACTCTGGTCATGTTAGTCTCTGTTCCTCTGTGAAATGTGGATAAATAAAACTTGCTTTCATTACAGCAAAGCAAAACAAAGAACCGTACATATTCTTAAAACTTTCCTACATAGAGAACACAAGAAAATTCAACTTCCAGCTCTTGTCACTTATCAAGCCAGTCCTGGATAGCCAAAATCACAGTTACCAACCAACCATGGTAATAAGAATTTAAGACAAATGCATTAGGGTACTGTGGAGCCAGAAGACTTTTTAAATTACAATATTAACAGTGCCAGAAAACGACCAGTTACCATTCATTTATTGCTCACTATGAGTAAGAACCATGTCCTTTGTTTAATCCACCTTCACAGTGACATAGAATACAGGTTAAATTCTTGGGTTCTGGGATCATACTGCCTGGATTCATATCAAAGCAATGCCAGTTGCTGTGACCTTGGGCCAGTAAGTAAAATTCCTGTGACTCAATTCCATGTGTAAAATACTATGCGTCATAGCATTGTTTGAGGTGTGGGTGAAGAAAGTTCTTCGGATGGTGCCTTGTATACAGTAAGCACTTACTTTGTTTTTAAACAGATAAAGATGCCTTTATTTGTAAAACATGGCTGAACTATATACCAGCAAGCTCAGACGATTTTGGAACTGATCATGCAGCACGGAGCAATGCAAGGAGGAGCAGTAAGAGCTCCCAGTCGCGGGCACCAAAGCAGTCAGTTTTTAAAGCACCACACAGGATGCCCAGCTTACTAATCTTCCTGAAACTAATTCTGTCATGGCATGTCATTGTTTAAAAAACTGTTATGATCTTTTTTAGACCTAGAACATAAAACCCAAACACTTAATTCTGCGAACTATCCAACACTTCCCATCTAATCACACACCACTTCCCAGAACGAACCCACTACTCCTGCTTGGATAAGCCACAGCAACACTATTTAATAGAAAATAATGCAAAACAAGACATGAGATAACTTTACATTTTCTGGTGGTAATTTCACATTTAAAAAAAAACAGATAAAAATTATTTTTAATAATACTTTAACCCAAAACACTACTATTTAAATCATAAGCAATATTTTTAACATTGCACATGATTTTTTTTTTTTTAAGACACAGTTTTGCTATGACGTAACCCACGCTGGCCTTGAATTTTTGATGCTTCTGCCTTGGCCTCCTGGGTGCTGGGATTACAGACGTGCTCTGCCACTCCTGGCTTTAATGAAATATTTTAACATTGTTTTTTTCCCATGTTGTCTTCAAATTCCAATTGCATATCTCCTCTCCACATGTGCCTCATGGCTACAGTACTGGGTGGTGCAACTTGAGAGAGCACTATGCTCCTGCTAAGCACAAGCCTTCCGTCAGACAGGCCTGCTTCCTTCCTCCCTCCTCTTCATCATCCCTGTTCATCCACATTCCAAGATCCAACTCAAGGAGAAGGTCTTGAGCAAGACCCATAGCTCCCCTAAAATACAACTGAACGCATACCGTGGGCCAAGAGTCATGGCAGGGATGTGACAGAAAGTTTAAGATAGGAACGCTCAGGAGTTGATCCTTTTGTATTAAAAACATGTATTAATGTAACGCTGTGCTCTGTAATAAAAGAGACGGCAGGGAACTGTTAAATGGTAAGCCCCCATACTAGAATACTATGGAGCTTTTAGCCTCTAAACTTGACTTCAATCCACTGAAAATTAAATCTCTAGCTCTGATAGTTCTCCAGCCTTTTTTAGCTCCCACCTTTCACCATGAACTTACCTTTCATTTCTGCTCTTACTGTTTTGAACTTGGCTACATTTTAACACTTGGTAGTTATAGAGCTCTATTGCGTGTTTCAAAAAAGGAAAGAGGCTTCTCAGGTTACTGATGTCTCGCCATATTGATACGATATTTCTTTAAGGATCTGCATCCAAAACCATAATGTCTCTCTTTGAAATGTAAAGTTCTAATCTAATCAGTTCCTGAATGAGTCTCTTCTCTTCATCATCAGGAGACTCAGTATTTCACTAAATATGCCAAATACATAGGAAGTATTTCATTCTTCTAGCTTTGCTTTGCCATCCCAACCATGCATGAACCTCCTGGATATGTGGGGGTTTTAATGTTCAAGGTAAAAATACACACACGTTCTCCTTATTTTTTTTCGGTGGTACTGGGGTTTGAACTCAGGGCCTCACACTTGCTAGGCAGTGCTCTACCACTTTGGTAACTCTGCCAGTTCTTTTGTGTG